GACTTTAGGATGTCTACTGTTTCGGAAAAGGACTTTAGGATGCTCAATAATTCTAAAAAAAGAGTTTAAAAATAAATTAATATCAAAAGACATGGCAAAATCTTACATGTGTACATGCCACATTAGTATATAACGACAGAATTAATGGTTCATTAATAGGGTTTTTTGCCCTTCAAAAATATAGTTCAAAACTAAAATTATTCCATTTAAAAATATAAAGTGCTTAATATTTTTAAAAAAATAAATATGAAAGTAAAATTAAATCTTAAGTCAAACTATTTACTCTTCCCGACCTTTGGTGGTGATGGCATTAATTTACTATTATAAAATTAAAAGCCAAGTGGTGCTGCTCCTGTGCCTGCAAAGGCAGGTTCATTCATTGAAGAAGTGCTAAAGGTGCTACTTTTATTTTTCTTTTTCAATTATCCACTTCATATATTGTAATCATTTTCAAGTGTCGTTGTTTTATCGACTAAAAATAGAAATTGTATGAATAACGGTGAGCGATTGAAATTATGAAGCAAATCATAATTAATGATTACCATAAGATAATAACATACATGAAAGTAAAATAAAAAAATATATATTATAGAAGGCAAATGAAGAATCTTTCAGAAAAATCTGAACAGCCAATTTTTTTTTTTTTTTGGAATACAGAAATAGCGAGGCGTTTGACAGGAGACAAATGGTGGGTTGTCTAAATTTGTTCCTCTTCCATCACTTTCTTATTAATTGGCATTCCAACCTTTACTGAACTTAGCCTCTAAAAGATTGGCAACATGATCCAAAGGATTTAGATGGCACCAAGATATCATCATAATTCATATTGAAGCTTGATGAGAAGCAGGACCACATTTTCACAATACTCAGCTTTCTTTGAGCTGCCCCTACGTTGTTTCATTTCATGTGACTTGGTCCACCATAAAGTTTCAATCATAAAACTAGCCACATGCATCCCTTGTACTTTATGAGCTTTCACGGTGACTATTGCCCACACAAAGATGATATTGTGACTGCCAAATTTCAATCTTTGCAAGTGACAAATGAAAGAGTTAAAAAATAAAAAAATAAAGGTCTCTGTGTATGCCCATTAAAGTTTGTAAAGCACATATTTTTATAAACTCAAGTTGGAGAAGCAACAGAAAGTTATTTCCACACCGGTCATATATACATATATATATATATATAAAATAAAAAATTCAGATAAGTTGGGTTTTTAGAGACTTATTATCATCAAGACATGCTTCTAGATGCAAAATAAAAGCATTTATAGATCGCTCGTCAATAAAATTTTTATATTAATTGTGAGATTTAACCTCACAATTATGTAAATTATGGATCAAATTCTTGTCAATTGAATCAAAATTTTGTTAGTTTCACACTAATCTTTATTTTAAACCTAAAATTCATTTCAGCCCAATAAAATTTTAACTTTATGCCTGCTTTTGGGTTCCAAATCTCAGTTTGGACCAACAAAAATTCAGCTCGATAGTTAATCAAACATAACCTTTGTTTTTCTTTTTTTAAAAAAAAAAATTGAATACATTTGAAAGTTTAGTTGAGTTTAACTTGAGTTGTCAATCCTCGTGGCATGGATTGAATTTGAAACTTTCAAAACATAATGGAAAAAGTGAAAGGATGAAAAGATAGAATTTGTTTGACTTTATGCTAATTTATTATTATTGGGGACCCACGTGGCCATGTATTGACACCAGGCACATTATAGCGTTCTGATGGGTGTTCTTTGTCCCTACTCAAACTCCTTGTCTTAAAATTTGAGTGTAATGTTTTTATTTATTTTTTTATTTTTTCAAAGCAGTAGATACGAAAATATCTCCTTTGATTAAGAGGGTTGATCCTTAATCTTGACTCTTTTAAGGGTTAAGACATTCTTTAACAATTTGATAATTATCCTGCAATTTTACATTTCTGAGTTGTAATGTGTTTTAAAAATACAAAAATATTTATATGCTTTGTAAGAAAGGAAAAGGTCCATAATTTTAACGTAGCGACATAGCGTTCGAAGAAAATCCAAATACTCCGTTTATACATGTACAGTCCATTCTTTAAAAAATACCTTTTAAAGGTTGGGTGTTTAAAATATAAGAAATTTTTAATTTTTAAGAAAAATATAATCATTGATATTTATAGTTTCATCTGGTTTTACTTTTAGTTTCTATAATTTTTTTAATATTTTTAATTTCTATAGCTTCAATAAAATTAGGTGACATTTGTTATTTAGGTACTTATAGTTTCATATTTTTAGTGTTTTTAATCTATATAAGAATTAAAAATATTAAAAAATTTACAAGAATAAAAAATGAAATGCAATAAAACTATAGGAATCAATAATTATATTTTTCATTAGTTTTTTTATATGCAAATAATGATTTTTTAAAGTACTCTTAATAAATAAACCACTCAACCATTCACCTTTAAGTAAAATATCTTATTAAATAAGGGCAAATATAAAAACATGAGGCTTATATAAAAACAATTAACTGGTAACTTATTTGGATGAGATTCGGTTAAAAAAGTCTTATATTTTTTAACTGAGAAAGTGTGTATATAAAAAAAATTTAATTTTTTTATCCTTCAACTTTTAACTCACTTATAATTTAGTCTTTAACTATAACTCATAATAACTTAGTCTCTGAACTATAAATCGTTTTAACTTAATTTCTCAACTTTTGACTCACCAATAACTCAATCTTTATTTTTTAAATTTTTTTTAAAAAATATCCTTATCAAATAAGAGGAATAAAAGAATGTCCATATATTACTCTAAAATACCCTCCTCTTGCTCTTTGATGTAGGATCTAAGTTAAAATAAAAAAAACAATTAAAAGTTGAGGGGTGATTCATAGGTAAGTCAAAAGTTAAGGGATTGAATCGCAATGAGTTATAGTTAAGTGAATGAGTTACAAGTTAATTAAAAATTGACAAACTAAAAGATTAATTTAAAAAAATTTATATATTTAGTCTTATATATTTAATATGCTTGTTTTCAATTAAATCATGACATGTGACTTTTATATATTATTTATTTTATAATAAATTTTTACTATTAATTTTATTATTTATTAGATTCACTTGTTATAATTTGATTGAATATAAAAATATTAATTAGCTAAGTTATTTTACCCTGCACACCCTAACCAAGTGTTTTAAAATTAATCGAATAGAAGTACATTTAGTCTAGCTTTTCTTAAATTTGATTATAGTATAATGTTGAAAATATCTTGGATTTATTTAAAATATTCAAAAATACTCACATCTCCTCCGGTCCTCCCTTTGTAATTTGCGCGGATTCCGATACAATATATTTTTATTTTTTTATAAATTAAAATTGTTTTAAAAAATTAATTTTAAAACATAAATTAAAATTATATTTGATGTTTTAGCTTTTAAAAATTTAAATTGTATTCCTTTTATTAAAAAATGTAAGATATTTTTTTGAGAGGTTGAATGTTTAAAAATGTAAGGCTATTTTGGTGTTTTAAGATATAACTAATAGGTTTTTTTTTTAAGGATTCATAACAAATAAATTATTTTATATTTATTTTAAAATAAAATATTCTATTAAATAGGGATAAATATAAAAAAATAGTATTAGTTTGAAGACAATTCACTACTTTATTGGAGTGATATTTAGTTAAAAATACCTTTTATTTTTAAAATAAAATATTACTCATATTTTTGTATATTCTAAAATAAATTGTATGAAATAAAAAAATTATTATTTATATTTTTATATTTTGATAACTAAAAAAAATCTGATATTGTACTATGAATAAAAAATATAGTTAATAGAAATTGCTAAGAAATTAAAAAATATATTTATTTTTACTTGTTTTTTTAAGAAATTAATGAAATCTAACTTTTACTATTTTCTTTTCCATTTTTCTTAAATAATGTAGATTACTGTTCCTGGGGATAGCACGGCCCTAAAATTTAGTTGTTACTTTAAATCGCATCCATAATCATATCCTAAATCATTGTCTTGATGGAAAACCGGACTTTTTTCCACGCTTGCAAGAAATAATAACCTGATAGAAACTTTTTGCTACACGATATACTAATTTGAACAAAGTGTTAAGAAATGTAAAAAGAAAAGAAAAAAAAAAAAAATATATATATATATAAACAAAAGTGAAGAGATATACGGATAATAATTAAAATACAAAGATAACCAAAGAAGAGGTGTAAGGAATACCCAAATCTCAATTTTGGCAACTAAACGAATCTTAGTATCATCAAATTTTATTTATAAATTACTTCAACATATTTTATTAAAACAATATATCTTAAAATTTATTAATTTCATTGAAAAATCAAAATATTTAATAATTTTTTAATTTCATTATCATAAAATATAGTACATTTTTCAATAACATACTTTTGCACACGAATATTTTATAGAGTGAAAAAAAAAATTATAATAAAAAATAATAATAAAACTTACAAAAAAAAAAACTCTTTTCATCTGGTAGATAAGACATTAAGACAGGAAGGATTAATCTGTATATAAAATAAAAACCGTAATAAAATAAAAAAACCGTAATGAAAAAAAAAAAATTCTCTCCATCCAGCTGCCGAGAGAGTGATGATTAATAAATTTAGTTAAGAGTATTTAATTCCCAAGTGCTTTCACTCACATCCCCACCAAACCTTTTCGGCAAAACATGAGGGTCTGTGTTTTTGAGATAAATGCCACCGACAGGACATCACAATCAACAAAAGACAGCAAACTATAACATCTTTCTGTTTCTTTTTTTTTAAAAAAAAAAAAAAAGCAAAGAAGTGTTCTAAGCAAAAGTAATAAATCACTATGGACAACTTTGTCCACAAAAATAACTACGGACCACAAATGCAACTTCTGTAAGGTATCAAATGAGAAGAAAACAAGTGGAAGAAAAAGAGTAACACAATGGGGACTATAGCAGACAAAAAGAGGCAATAAATTTGATGTTAGATGCCAAAGAAACTTGAGGCCCAAGTAAAAGCATGATCGGTGCAATCATATCAGCACTAATGCACACTAACAAACTACGAGCTTTGTTTGATGATTTGACAATAAATTCTCCGAGACGAAGCTGTGGCCATCCAGATCATCTAAAAACAAACTACAATCAGAGAAACGAACGAAAAATGATCTTGATGACCAAAATTGGTCCAGAATAATTCAGTTTTACTCCATAAATTAAGACAATCTATACATGAGATGATTATCCTCCATAAAGTAGGATAGTGATAAGCACAAAAGCTAGGATGCATGCACGGTTCTGTCAAGTTACTCTGATAAAAACATGGATCATGTCAAAAAAGATTTCTCCAGAAAGTCAATAATGTGATGTCAATTGCTAAAAGATATTCAAGTGCCATGTTTCTACCAGAGAACTTGACTGATGCCTAAGTTTCGCTCTCACGACAAGCTCAGACCGAAATCAGTAAGAAGATATATCATCTACATCGTTGATCAGATCAGGATGTTGGATTTGGTCTTGATCATGTTTCAAGCTAGCCTCTCGCAACTCTTCAATGTGCTTCGTCACTTCTGACATTGATGGGCGACTGTCAGGGTATGGAGCAACACAATCTATTGCAAGTTGCAACAACTGGACCATCTCCTCCTCAACATTCTGATACCTGAGAAGCTCAATATCAAACACCTCAGAGGTCCACTCTTCTCTAACAACAGATCGAACCCATCTAGGAAGGTCTACACCATCATCATTCAAGAGCGCATGAGCCGGAGCCTTCCCGGTAAGCAGTTCCAAGAGCAATACTCCAAAGCTATAGACATCTGCTTTCTGAGATACCTTGCGAGGATCGGTACCTCAGGTGCACGATACCCAGCAACTCGGTTCAGAGTGGAGGCAGGACCGGCAAGGTGAGAGAGGCCAAAGTCGGATACTTTAGCATCCAAGGATCTGGTGAGAAGGATGTTGGATGACTTTATGTTCCCATGAGAAACATTAATCCCTTGTGAGTGTAGGTACTCAATGCCCCTAGCAGCTCCAAGGGCAATGCCTGATCTCACTTCCCAATTCAATGGGGTCCCGCCAGCCCCTTTATTTCCTGCAATAAGAAATTATGAACAAACTTGTCATGAGGTTTTGTTGGTCAGATTTATGTTCAACATTGTTCAAGGAGGTCATTGGATTCGAAGTCAGAGAAACAGAAAGTACAATACCAAGGAAAACAATATAAGAACTGAACCTCTGAACTATTATTAAAAAAAAATTAAAAACCAGCCAATTCTATCATTTGTTACTTCCATATTACCATATCAGAAGAACAAAAAGCAGGAAAATGAATGCATTTGAGATTCTATGGAAACTGGAGGAGATGATGCTCAATCAGATCCAGTTTCTGATAATGGGATGATAAGAAGCAAGGTTTTGAACAATCAGGTGACTGATAACAATAAAGCAATCCCAAGAATTCATTGTCAGGAGATCAAGAGAACACAAGCAATCATAACCTCAAACCTTGAGAAGAATAAAACAGACCATAACAAAGAAGTAATGAAAGAAACAGAAGGTATCCAAGTGAACTCACCATGTAAAAGTGCAGATAAGCTTCCCGCTGGCATATAGTCATGAACAATAAGCTTTTCCTCTCTGCTATAGTAATAAGCCATTAGAGGGACCAAATTCTCATGATCCATAGCTCCTACTGCTTCAATCTTCTCCTTGAACTCTGTATCAGAAATTGTCACATCCCTCAATCGCTTCACAGCCACCACAGGCCCATCCTCAAGAGTCGCCTTATAGGCTGTTCCAAATGTTCCTTTGCCCAAAACTTCTGCAGAAGCCCTAAGCAAATCCTCAAGATCGAATACATTCGGTGAATGACTGAAAAATACCAGCTTTTTTGCTCCGGCGTTGATCTCCGTCGCTGCCGTCGCCCCTGCAGCAGAGTATCCGTTACTGGTTCCAGTTCTGAAACCGGTTTGTTGCCCCGAATTTCCACTTCAGGATGTTTATCAGTTAAAATGTCCAGCGACCTTGTCTTCTGATTACTGCTCTTTCGGCATAATATGATCAGAGCGAAAAGAATCAACAGAAGACACACGGCTGATCCTACAACGATTCCAGCTATGGCACCACCTGACAGTTTCTTCTTCTTCATGTTTCCCTCATTGTTTTCAATCTTAGGCGTCGGAGATTTCCAGGTTCCGGTTCCGGTTCCGGTTCCAGTTCCATTTACATCTCCTGAACAGAGGCTGAGGGGTTTCCCGCATAGAGAGTTCCCTAGAAATGAATCTTTTGCGAAAGTTTGTAACTTTTCTGGCACTGAACCATTCAGCATGTTGTTTGAAACATTGAACTGCTCAAGGTTTACAAGGTTTAACTCGGGGATGACACCTGAGAGACCGTTGTTTTCGAGGAACAAGGTTCTGAGCCTCGTCAAATTGTTGAAACCCAGCGGAATGGGACCGGAAAAATGGTTGGACGCCAAATTAAGCCGAATCAAGTCCGGTAAAGCAAAAAGAAATTCTGGAATTTCCCCAGAAAGCAGATTCTGCTGCAAGTAAAGGTTACGAAGATTAATACAGGAAGCAAGATCTTCGGGAAGCCCACCCTTCAACGCATTGAAACGCAAGCTGAGAGTTCGAAGGCGAGTCAAGTTGCCGAAAATGCCAGTGGGTATTGAGCCAGAAAGCGCGACACCAGGAAGACGAAGCTGAACGACACGGTCGTTTTTGCAATGGACTCCGAACCACTTGCATGGACTCTGCTCAGAAACGTTCCAGAAAAGGGTTCGGCCTCCAACAGCCGAACGGAGAGACACGAGAGCGAGTCTCTCAGAAGCCAGATCTGGTCTGACTAGAGGAAGCAAAACTAGGAAGAAACTGAGCGAAACGGAGAGTCTATGAAGCAGCATTACCATGCTGGTTTTTTTGCTATCAGTATTGTAAACTCTTTCCGAGAAGGACGAGGAGGAGAAGGAGGATGGGTTTGAGGCGGTGGTTTTAATGTTCACAGAAGCAGGAAGGAACTGAAGCAGCTACTACGGATATGGGGAAAACTTCATTAACAGAGAGAGAGAGAGAGAGGAAGATGAAGATGTTGATTTTGTTTTTATTTATTTATTTATGTATCTCTTTCTTTCTTTTCCAATGGTTTTGAATTTTAAGAGAGTACTGTATAATTTTCTTTTTGGATTCTCTCCACGGAACACGGGGGAAGAAAATCCACATCATTGATTAAATATTGGGAGAATGGCACGGAACGCCCTGAAACATACATGATTATACTTTGAGTTTAAAAAAATTTGATATTACACTGTAAGCCTTGGAACTCTTATTGTAATTTTTCTTGAAATTAAAAGTATATTTTTATCCTTTGTTTGATTTGAATTCAAAAAAAGTGAAACTATGCACAACACGATATTCATCACACATAAGACAATGTTCATGTATGCTCAACTGAAAGTTCATACCTTTTCAGTATTTCAATAACATAGGCTTAATAAAATAGATAACTTAGGCAAATCATATACAATACAATATTCATAATGTATAAAATAATGTTCATGTATACTCAACTCGAAATCTATTCCTTTTCAATATTTAATATGCTAGGCTCAATAAAATGGACAACTTAGGCATGCCATGCGCAATACAACATTCACTATACACAAAACAATGCTCACGCCTGCTTAATTCAAAGTCCATACATTTTTAGTATTTCAATAGCCTTGGCCCAACAAAATGAACAATTTAAGCAAACCATGCACAACACAACATTTACTATGCATAAAATAATGCTTACTTATGTTGAACATAAAATCCATACCTTTACATTATTAAGAAAGATAATTACATCATATATGAATAATTTCATATTGGTACTGGCCTAGCTATTAAAATAAGTATCCACATAAAATTTAACATGATATTTCAAGTCCAATATATATAAAAAGTTAGCAATTATATCCAAAATATCTAACAGTTACTTCTCTGTATACAAACAAAAAATATCTATGATTCTCAATGATCCAAAAAAAAATATTACTTGAAAATGCTTTTATATACATAATTATAGTTTTCTATCTACACCATAAAAGTATAATGTAACTATTTCTCATACTAGATTAGGATTTTTACATGTCTTACAACAGTGTCCGACTTCCCCACATCTTGAACAATGATAAATCTTCTTATCTTGAAATTGAGGCTCTATTCTCTTTATTCTTGACTCCCTACAGTTGGTTAAAGGCAAGTGCAATAAAGTTTAAGATAAGTTATTTGTTAATGTTGCTTATTAGTAAGCTAGACCTAATAAAATGTATAAGTAGGCAAACAATGTACAACACAATATTCATTATACATAATATAAGATTCATATATTCTCAATTAAAAGTCTATACAATTATAGTTTATCAGTAGGTTAGCATTAACAAAATATTCAAGTTCAGCAAACAATGTGTAATACAAAATTCACTATGTATAACACAAGGTTCATATATTCTCAACTAAAAGTCCATACGATTTCAGTTTATTAGTAAGTTAGGCTTAACAAAATATTCAATTTAGGCAGATAATGTACAACACAATATCTACTATATACAACACAAGGTTCATATATTCTCAATTAAAAATCCATACGATTTTAATTTATCAGTAAGTTAGGCTTAACAAAATGTTCATGTCATGTAAATAATGTACAACATAATATTTACTATGCACAACACAAAGTTTATGTATTCTCAATTGAAAGTTCATGCAATTTCAATTTACCATTAGGTTAGGTTTAACAAAATGTGCACCTTAGCATTCAACAACAACAACTCAAAGATAGTTTTTGCACAACAAATATTTCAACATTTTTGATATCATATTTTCTTCATATTAAGTCAATTTTATTCAATTCATATGTTAAAGTCCAATATGAACAAGTCAACCATCATTATTGTATAATAATTAATCCATTTTAAAATTTTCACAGTCAACTTAATAGTTCAACAACCTTTAGTTTAAATTAATAGTAAAATCACAAATGAAATTCCAATTGAAGGTTTTCCCATCCAACTGAATATTTGGTTAAAATCCAACTATTTTAAATCATCTTCTCATCAATTTATGCAAGGCTAAAAAACCAAAAAGCTTGTTCCATCATTCTTTGCTTATGGTTCAATGAAGAAAACATGACCAAGCAAAAAGCAATCAACAATAACAAAAATTGAAAGCCAACAAAACATTACATTACTCTTTGCTTGTGATTCAACTATTAGCCCTTTCTTGTTTCAACATAAAAATGGTAAATAATATCCTTAATCAAAGCTTAATAGATAAATTTTCAACTAAATCATTGCTTAAGAGAAAGGGATTTTGGAATCTACATATCTCAGAAGTTATTTCTCGCCATTAGAATTGAGAAACTTTCACATTTTCCAGCTAGATAGCCTTCTAACATTTGTCATCAATCTCACCACTCTCCATTTGTCCATTTTCATTTCTCTTTATAAAGGGTAAAATTGTATTTGTGGGTGAAGAAAAATTATAATAAAGGTCCAAAGGCTTGCAAAGTAATATCAAATTTTTTGAGACCCAAAATGCAGTAATGTGTTTTTTAGGGCCTACAATGCCATTCTCCCTTAAATATTTATTAATGAAAAATTGATGATAGCTTTAATTTTAATTTTTGATCCATAAATAAAATTGAAGCATCCTATGCGCAATTCCTATGATTTTTATTCAATGATATAGGTTTCGCATCAAATTATGGAATCCGTAATTAATAATTTTAATATATTTAGATATGAATTTTATATTATTATTTTTTAATTATTATTTTTTGATAATAACATAATAATTTTTGTAATTTAATTATAAAATTTTCCAGGGGTTAAAAATAACACATTTATCATTTTATTATCAGAAATATGTTTATTCATACGGGTTTTGTAATCTTATTATACTGATACTAATGATGATTAAAAATAAGAATTAGGGATTATTTTAGTTTTTCCATTTAATTTGATCCTTTTTTTTTTTTACCAGCCATTTAATTTGATTCTGACATTTAGGACGCCGACCTCTTTTGATTTTATGCAAAGTATTAATTTCAAACCCACAAACAACAACCACATTGCCTTTTTGTTTTTTGTCGAAACCAGGTTGCCGTTTTATTATTACAAACTACTACGAAATTAAGTGATTCGAAAATTAGGTGTCTTTTTTTCCCCCCAGCTCAAGAGTTACTTACTACAAGAGAAGTAATTTTCTTGGTCTGTTGTGAGAAATTTTTCTCCTACAACTAAGAGTGAGATTATATGTGAGTGTGTATTTGTGGATAAAAAATAAAAAAAAATAATAGAAAAATTTATTTAAATTATGTAGATGATAGATTGTTACCACAAAATGGTATAATTCTCTTGAAGTTTCATGAGACTTTTTTGTCATTAGGGAATTAAAAAAATGATCAAATTAGTCTCAAATAAAACAAAAATTTCTGAAGTTGCGAATGACTATTGAATTGTTGTAAATTTAGAAACAAAAATTATAAATGAAAAGTTATGAATTTTTAACACTTGATATAATGAGGACCTGCATATGCAGAGTTGCGAATGACTATTGAATTATTGTGAATTTAAAAATAAAAGTTGTTAATATAGAAACAAAAGTTGTAAATGAAAAGTTATGAATTTTCAACACCTGATGTATATCAAGGCCTGTAAATGTGGAGTTACAAATAACTATTGAATTATTGTGAATTTAAAAATAAAAGTTGTTAATATAAGAATAAAAATTGTGAATGAAAAGTTATAAATTTTCAATACTTGATGCATATCAAGACTTACAGATCAAGACTTGTGAATATCTATTAAATTGCTGTGAATATAAAAATAAAGTTGTTAATATATAAATAAAAATTATGAGTGAAAAGTTACGAATTTTTTTTAATATGAATAAAGGGCAAAAGTATTATTTTCTATAATTTTTTAAAGGCAGAAACATTCTTTGGAACTTCAGAAGAATTATACCATTTTGTAGGACTAATTTATTATTTACATAATTTAAATGGATTTTTCTATCATTTTTTCTAAAAAAGATAAGACATTTTTAACTATATTACACCCTTAATAAATTAGTAAATCATCTTTAAATTAATAATATTTTTTTATATTTATTTTTATGTAATACAACATCTCATTTAAAGATAAATGGTTGAGTAATTTATTTTTAAGAGCATCATTGTAAGAGGCGCTATGAATTTTTAAATACATTGAGTGCACCACATCATTTATAATTTATTTAATATGACATTTAAATTATATTAAATATAAATTAATTATGATATTAATGTCACACAATAAATTTTTTTAAAATATTTTAACTAAATAGATCAAAAATAATATAATACATTCAATTTTCAAAGCTGTAACAAAGTTTCAGATCCTTCCATATCCATCGAGTTTACTGTTAATTTATTACAAGGCTGAACATTGTTGTTGTATCGCATAAGTTTTCTAACTTAACCATCAAACAAAGAAGTTTTCTAACTTATGTTAAGTTTTTGATGCATTACACATTCCTAAAAAGTTTACTGTGCATGGCAAATCATGGGGAGTCTTGAAGCTGGAGGATTTTCCTGTTATGGATGTTGGAGTTTCTTCTATAATTCTTTTTTTCCCCTTTTATGTTTAGCAATGCTGCACTCAAATTTTTTTTTTTCATTCTTTTGATTTCTTTTAGTAAGCTATTTTATACAAACCTTATTATTTTCTTTTGTAGAGAGGATGAGATTGAAGATATTCCAAAGTTATAGTATGAAATTTTCCTTGTACGTGACATACACAATGCCTAAATGATTAATTTTTTCATCAATTTAATCTTTAGCAGGAAATTTCTGTTCTGCAACAACGTCGATCTCCCGTATATTATTGAATATTATGGTTCCTATGTCAATCAAACTAAGCTTTGGATAATAATAATAATGGAGTACATTTCTGGTGGCTCTGCTGCTGACCTAGTAGGTCGCTTCTGTTGACTTGACTCTCTATGTTTGATGCCAGTTAGTTCTATAGAGACTTCAAATCAA